AAGAGCAGATGGTGCTCTTAACCACTGAGCCATCTCTCCAGCCCCCCTGTGCCTGAGCTTTATCTCTAGTCTTAGGTATTAAAAAACTTAAAATTGCATTTATTTACTTATTTATTTGTGTATTTATTATTTGTGTGTGTAAACATTTTTGTGTTCACCAGGTGCACATGCAGAGGTGAGGAGACCATTGTACACATTGCTTCCCTCCTCTACATGGCTCTGAAGGATTGAAGTCCTTAGACTTGGTGCAAGTGCCTTTTTTGGATAAACCATCTCTTGTTGGCCTTTGAAGGACTTTAAAAAGAAATCATTTGTCAGTAAAAGCTCATGTGAGAGTTCGGAGAAATAGCTCAGTTGTTAAGAGCACTGGCTGTCCTTCCATAGGACCTGGATTCAATTCCCACCACCCACATGGTAGCTTATTAATGTCTGTAACTCCAGTTCTAGGAGATCTGACCTCACACATGCAGGCAAAGCACCAATGTATATAGGAGAAAAATTAACTTGTAAAGAGCAAAAAATAAAATAAAAATAAGACAAATTGTCTTTTCTTCAGGAAATGCGGCGCCGGCGAATAGAAGTTAATGTGGAACTGAGGAAAGCTAAGAAAGATGACCAGATGCTGAAAAGGAGAAACGTCAGCTCATTTCCGGATGATGCTACTTCTCCACTGCAGGAAAATCGCAACAATCAGGTAAATGCATTTGCACTCATGTACACCTAGAAAACATGAATAAATGTTTCTTAGACATTTAAAGTTTCTGTTCTTTCTCCCCCTTTCCTCCTTCCTGTCCCTCCGTGCGTGTTCCCCTTTCCTCTACCTCTTTCTCACTGATCCCAATAAACCTGCATTTATTATATACACACACTCACACACACACACACATATATGGAATTCAGTTTGTTCCCATTTGTTGTCTTTTGGTTTTTCAAGACAGGGATGATGTGTGTGTCTAGATGCACACATGTCATGGCATGTGTGATGTGGGGTGGGTTTTCCCTGTTCTGCCTATACAGGGTCCTTTGGATCAAATTCAGGCCACCAGACTTGACCTGCTGCGGTCACCTCTCCAGCCCAGTTTGTTATTCCCGCCCCCTATCCCAGACAGGGTTTCTCTGTGTAGCCCTGGCCTTCCTGGAGTTCACTCTGTAGACCAGGCTGGCCTCTGCCCCAACTGCTGGAATTAAAGGCATGTGCCACCAGCGCCCAGCTGTTATTGTGAATTTTTTTTTTTAATGATCAATTTTCTGTGCATGGCATGTATGTCTGTGTGAGGGTATTTGATCCCCTGGAGCTGGAGTTAACAGTTGTGAGCTGCCATGTGGGTGCTGGGTATTGAACCTCTTCTAGAATACCAGTGCTTTTGGCCACTGAGCCATCTCTGGCACCGGTTTGATTTTTGTCAGTGCTGGAGTAAGCCACACACAGACACTCTGGGCAGCTCTACCACGTGGCTGCACTGCAGTGCAGCGTTTCCTAGCTCTGACCTTCCTTCAGGCACCCCTGCCAGGCTGGCCACCTTGACAGGTCAGTTGAAGAGTAAGGAGCTTTTCTAGCTCCTTTTTTTGAGACAGTGTCATCCTTGCTGTATGACCCTGGCTGGTCTGATATTTTCTCTCAAGCCTGTCCTGGTCTGGAACTCTACTTCAGTCCTCCCTTGGCCTTGGGTATGTGGCAGCCGTGGCCGGCTATGACGTGTAAAGCAGTGGTTCTTAGCCCTCCTAGTGCTGCAGCCCTTCAGTACAGATGCTTATGTTGTGGGAAACTCCCCAACCATAAAGCTATTTTCATTACTGCTTTATAACTGTAACTGTAAGCCAGGCATGGTGGCACATGCCTGTAATCCCAGCACTCAGGGAGACAGAGGCTGTGAGATCTCTGAGTTCGAGGCCAGCCTGGACAAAGCCAGTGTTCTCTAAAGCTTGACCTCTCAGCAGGGATTCATGGCCATGGGTGCGGGAACAGGCATGAGACCCCTCCCTGTGGATTAGGTTCTAAATAAAACAGGAAAGCAGTTGGTCACCTCCGTACCATTGGTGTCACTGTTGAGCCAGCAGGATACAGGGGACGTAGCCGGGTATGGTGGTTAAATGCCCCCCACGCCATAGTATCTTGCAACACTATGAAAGTGAGCCAGCAGTTAGGAAAAGCTTAAAGTTTCCAGAGCAGTTCCAACTTGATTTTTTTTTTCACCTCTCATGTCATGTAACCAAAATGTATGGTGTCTTTCATTGGAGTCTTTTTTTTTTTTTTCTCCCCTTTTTTTCCCCCACATTGGCGTTCTGCCTTCATGTACGTCGTATGAGGGTGTCAGATCCCCTGGAGCTGGAATTACAGTTGTGAGCTGCCATGTGGATGCTGGGATTTGAATCTGGGTCCTTTGGAAGAGCAGTCAGTGCTCTTAACTGCGGAGCCATCTCTCCAGTCCCCAGCATTAGAGTCTTAGCATAAAGTTCTGGTGGGCAACCAAGAGCAATGACGATAGCTTATACTGTTTTGAGGTATAAGATTTTTTTTTTTTTTTTAGTGATTCACAGTAGAAAAATAATCTACTATGGGAATTTGTAGATAAAATTCTTAAATAAAAATCCAAGAAATTAGGCCAGGTGGTAGCATAAAACTTTATCCCAGTACTCTGTACTCTGTAGGTAGAAGTAAGTAGAGCTCTGTGAGTTCTAGGCCGGCCTAGTCTACATAATGAGTTCCAGGACAGCCAAGGCTATGTGAAGAGATCCTGTGTCAAAACCAAAACAACAAACAAACAAAAATCCAAGGCATTGTCTGTAGCTCCATATATCTTTGTTGAAAGTATATCTGGGTTCAAGTGATTGCATCTAATTTAAGACTAGCCTTTATGCCAGACGCAAGGGTGCATACCTGTAATCCCAGCACTCACAGAGGCAGAAGCAGCCGGATCTTTGTGTTTGAGGCCAGCCTGGTCTACAAAGGGAGTCCAGGAGAGCCAAGGCTACACGGAGAAACCCTGTTTCAGGGGGGTTTAAAAAGAGGAAAACCTTAAGTTTGCCTTAACAACTACCTTTCTTTAGTGAGAAAAGTGCTCTGACTTGAGAATCCAGTGTCATGGTGCTAAGTTTGAGAACTATACATATAAAACACAATTTAGTAGGCCAAATTAAATGTAAAGTTAATCTTTTAGTAACAGACTAAGAACCTAAAAGTATCCTTACTAGTTTGCTTTCTGTTGCTATGATAAACCTGAAAGCAATGTAGTGGCAGGGAGAGGTTTATTTGGCTTTTCTCTCCAGGTCATAATTTATTAATGGGAAAATCAGGACAGGAACTCAAACAGAAACCACGAAGCAGTAGGCAGGGTGTGTTGCTGTTTACTGACTGGCTGTCTGACTAGGCTAGCTTTCCTATACAGCCCAGACCTGCCTGCCTGGGGGCGGTGCCCACAGTAAGCTGGACTCTCCCACATCAGTCATCAAGATCATTTCAGACATGGGCAGAGGTTAATCTGACCAAAGCAATTCTTCATGTTGATTCTGTCTTCTGGTGACTAGGTTGTGTCAAGTTGACAACAACTAAATAGCATAACAGGTATAAAGTCTATTATATGTATTTAATAAAAATAATTTGTAAAATACTACATTTCTTTTAGGGCACTGTGAATTGGTCTGTTGAGGACATTGTTAAAGGCATAAACAGTAACAATTTGGAAAGCCAGCTCCAAGCTACTCAAGCTGCTCGGTAAGTCTGCAGGCTCTGGCATAGGTAACCTACAAAATTAGCCCTTTGAGATTGTGGTGGGGAGAAACAGGTGGGATGGATAAAGTAAAACCATACAGTCATAAAATTTTACTTTATTTTCAACTTATTTATTTGTTTGTTATGAAAATCAGAGGACAACTTGCAGTTCTCTCCACCATGTGAGTCCTGGGGGTTGAATTTAGGTTGTCAGGCTTGCTCCCTTACCTGCTAAATCATCTCACCATCACCCTTCCCCTTTTCTTTAAACAGGATCTCATGTAGCCTAGACTGACCTTAAGTGCACAGTCCTTTTGCTTCAGCCTTCCCTATGTTGAGTTCATACATGTATCAATTACTTTGTCAAGATTTTTAGATGCCTTTCAAGGCACTGTGGCAATAACTTTAACTTTAATTTTCTTTTTGTTTCCCATAGGAAACTGCTTTCTAGGGAGAAACAGCCTCCCATAGACAATATCATCCGAGCTGGTTTGATCCCCAAATTTGTGTCCTTCTTGGGCAAAACTGATTGCAGTCCCATTCAGTTTGAATCTGCTTGGGCACTCACTAACATTGCTTCTGGAACATCTGAGCAGACCAAAGCTGTGGTGGATGGAGGTGCTATCCCAGCGTTTATTTCTCTCTTGGCATCTCCCCATGCTCACATCAGCGAGCAAGCTGTATGGGCTCTTGGAAACATTGCAGGTACTTGCACTTAAAATTCTTTGGATTGAATGTGTCCAATGTGATTAAAGAAGGACAATGTTAAAGGTCCTAGTGACTTTAGTGCCAAGCTTTGAGTTTGCTTTCAGCCCTTATTAGGAGTGGAAGAAGCATTTAACAGTGCTACTGGAGAAATATTTGTGTTACTGCATGTCTGACAGTGCCTTCAGTAGCTGAACATTGTTGTTCTGGAGAAGTAGATTCTCTAATCTTTTTTACTTTTATGAGGGTCTCACTACGTAGCACTGGCTGTAAACCAGGCTGGCTTGGAACTCACAGATAAATCCTAAGATTAAAGAGATTAAAGGTATTTACCTTTATTTAATCTTGCTTTCTGTTTCAGGTGATGGTTCAGTTTTCCGAGACTTAGTTATCAAATATGGTGCAGTTGACCCACTGTTGGCACTTCTTGCAATTCCTGACCTCTCTTCCTTGGCAGTAAGTTATTACCATAAGTAAAGTCACTTAGTATTTTGTTCTTATTTTCCTCATCTTTTCAGAAATAAGCCTTCTAACTAATTTTTCTTTCCTCCAGTGTGGTTACTTACGTAATCTTACCTGGACCCTTTCAAACCTTTGTCGAAACAAGAATCCCGCACCCCCCTTAGATGCTGTTGAGCAGATTCTTCCTACTTTAGTTCGTCTCCTGCATCACAGTGATCCAGAAGTGTTAGCAGATTCCTGCTGGGCTATTTCCTACCTGACTGATGGTCCAAATGAACGCATTGAGATGGTTGTGAAAACAGGAGTTGTGCCCCAACTTGTGAAGCTTCTAGGAGCTACTGAATTGCCAATTGTGGTGGGTGTTAACCTTTTTATTAATGAGCTTTACGAGTATAGGAGCCATAGTATTGAGATACTGTATGACTTTTGCAGAACTTTTAGAGTAAGAATTTTTTAGTAGTACTGGAAAAAATAGAAAGTAACTAATCAACATCAAAATATTTTTCTTTTTAGACTCCCGCACTAAGAGCCATAGGGAATATTGTCACTGGAACAGATGAACAGACTCAGATTGTGATAGACGCAGGAGCACTTGCAGTGTTTCCCAGCCTGCTAACAAACCCCAAAACTAATATTCAGAAGGAGGCCACATGGACAATGTCAAACATCACAGCTGGACGCCAGGACCAGATACAGCAAGTTGTGAATCATGGCCTTGTCCCATTTCTTGTTGGTGTCCTCTCTAAGGTAATGAGAGTTAAGGGTATGACCGCATGGTTGTTGAGTTTATGCTTTTATTTAATTTATTTATTTTTAAGATTTATTTATTAGGTATACAGTGTGTTTGCATGTACACCTGCATGCCAGAAGAGGGCACCAGATTTCATTTCAGATGGTTATGAGCCACCATATCGTTGCTGGGAGTTGAACTCATGACCTCTGGAAGGGCAGTCCGTGCTCTTAACCTCTGAGCTATCTCTTCAGCCCCCAACCTATGCTTTTTAAGAGTCTTAGAAGAATCTGGGTGTAGTAGCATACACCTTTAATACCCTGAGCTTGGGAGGCAGAGACAGGAAGATCTTTGAATTTGAGGCCAGCCTGATCAAAGCAGCAAGCTTCAGCATAGCCAGGACTACATAGAGAAACCTGTCTTAAACCAATAACAACTACTAAAGAGTCTAAATGACATTGGTGCCAGCTCCCTAAGCCTTTTTGTTAGGTAGGTAGCAGGCAGCACTTCCTAATGCTGGTAGAATCAAGTAGGTAGTTAAGTTAGTGTCTGTACAACACTACCTTTTGGAGTCTTACTGGTAGGACTTCTGAACTAAAACCATTTTCTTGTTTACCAGGCCGACTTTAAGACACAGAAGGAAGCTGTATGGGCTGTAACCAACTATACCAGTGGTGGGACTGTTGAACAGATTGTGTATCTTGTTCATTGTGGCATAATAGAACCTTTGACGAACCTCTTGAGTGCAAAAGACACCAAAATTGTTCTGGTTATTCTTGATGCCATTGCAAATATCTTCCAGGTAAGTCCTAACAAGGCCATGGCTCTGGGTTGACAATCCTAGCTATTCAGGGCTGGAAGATGACAGGGGAGTTTGGTTACTAATGGTCAGGGTCAGAAGGTCGCTTTACATGTGCCTCACTTTTTATAAATCCCAGTGCTCGGGAGGCCAGCCTGGTCTACACGGAGATACCACATATTGAACATAACAGAACAAGAGAACAGAAGGATTCTTTTTTTTTTTTTTAATGTTGGGCTATCAAGTAGCCTAGGCTGTCTTGACCTCCCTATGTAGGGAGCTCATACCTATAATCCTAGCACACAGGACCACCATGACTTGAAGGGCAGTCAACTCATGATTTCCAAGCCAGTTTGGATTATAGGATGAGATCCTTTCAATACATGCAAAAAAAAGTTGAGTCTAGAGTTAAAGGACACTGGTGATTCAATTTTTTTTTTTTTAAGATTTATTTATTATGTATACAATGTTGTGTTTGCATGTACACCTACGTGCCAGAAGAGGGCACCAGATTTCATTATAGATTGTTGTGAGCCACCATGTGGTTGCTGGGAATTGAACTCATGACCTGGAAGAGCAGCCAGTGCTCTTAACTCAGCTATCTTTCCAGCCCGACACTGGTGTTTCTACCCATGCATGTAAATCTGTCTCTGATTGGCCAGGTTTCCTGCTCGTCTTCAGTTAAAACCCTAAGTTTTGAAGCAAATCAGTTATTTAGTCTGTTAAAAGTTTGGAAGGAATCTTTATATAATTCATAGACTAATTGTGTTCTTGTCTTATTTTTGTGTTTATCTGTATAAATGTTATGCCGACATGTACTTAAGTGTCCATGTGCTTGCATGCATGGTCCCTGAGGAGTTTGGGGTAAGGCGTTGAATCCCTGAGATTAAAGTTGTGAACTGTAGTGTGCGCGCTGTTCACAACTGAACCCAGGTCACTCTTCCTGCTGAGCTATTTCTAGAGATACACCTGGATTTAATTCCTGAATTAAAGGAAATCACCCTCATGCCTGGCTGCAGCAATGTTCTTGCAGAGTGAAGCCCTGTCTCGAAACAACAAGACAAAAAAAAGCAGCCGTGTGGTAGTAGCAGCTGTGGTGGCGCACACCTTTAATTCAAGCACTTGGGAGGCAGAGGCAGGCGGATCTCTGAGTTTAAGGCCAGCCTGCTCTACAAGGGGGGATCCAGGAAACTCAGCTACACAGAAAAACACTGTCTCTCAGGGAAAGATAAAAACAAAACAAAAAAAGGTATTTGCTCTACCTGGCAATTCCTGGCAGGCCATGGCTACAGGGAGACACCAAAACTAGACAAATAGATCAAAATAAATACATAAAACAACTAAATTGCTTCTCATAGAAACTGGTATTTATATCTGAAATAGACTAGAGTTAGGATATAAACTTGAATTGTGTTTGTTTTAAGGCTGCTGAGAAGCTGGGTGAGACAGAAAAACTCAGTATAATGATTGAAGAGTGTGGAGGCTTGGACAAAATTGAAGCACTACAGAGCCATGAAAATGAGTCTGTATACAAGGCTTCGTTAAGTTTAATTGAGAAGTACTTCTCAGTGGAGGTAAGTAATGGCCATGTTAACCACTTGGAAAGTATACAAGAATCCACAAGTATCTTCAAGCCTATTAGATTTTGATCCTTTGTGTATGGATCTATTCTTCTATTACCCATGCCCTCACAGAGAGCAAGCATCAGTGCAGCCAGGACTTCCTGTATGTATGTATGTATGTATGTATGTATGTATGTATGTATGTATGT